TGATTAGCTGGTTCAGGTGTGTTTAATTAGGGTTGGAGCTAAACTCTGCAGGACACCGGCCCTCCAGGACCGAGTCTGGACAGCTCTGGGTTAATGGATAGACGGGTATACAGAGCACTAATTAAATATATCTATGACTCAGGTTTAGGATCTAGATTATAATACGTGTGGATGGGAGTATTCTACCTAATCTGGGGCATGAAGAGCTAATTGTGAGGAGCTGAACACGCAGCGCTAGCATCTGAGTGCGCCATAGATTGGAGAGAATAGGAAACATCCACCAATGGGTTTTTTTTAACTCAAATTTCAGACTCATCACCTATGAAAGTTTACTTGACCTCCAGTACAGTAGGTGGCTATAATGCTCCTTAGGGGTTATTCGCCATAAAACAAGAAGAAGAAGAAGAAGAAGAGAGCGGTGTGAAGTCGGAACCTTTATTCTCTCGTTCATGTTTCCGGTCGAGAGAAATAAACACGGGATCTCCTTCCTGTAAGTTACGTTACACGCGCGTACGCAGGCTCAACTAAACAACAATTGAATAAACCAGATATCTTGAAATTAATAAATTACAATGGAAACGATTTTAGAGCAGCAGCGACGATACCATGAGGAGAAAGAGAGACTTATGGACGCCAAAACGAAGGAGATGCTAACGAAAAAAACCACGGTAACTTCACGGATGATCTCTGAATGAGTTTTAAATGATGCTAACACATTAATCGTGTTATTAATAAACCATCAATTTGTTACGCTTAACAGTGATTAAAGATACAAAGGGCAAGTTAAGACGCTTTAATTCACAGCAGATAATTGTGTGACAGTAGTATACTGGAAATTGAATTAAAGACAACATTATAATGTAGTTTTCTTATAATGTTACTCAAGGTTTATAGCACCAAAACTATTTATAATTACGTTTTCAAGACCATTTCCTTTCTCTCAGCCTGTTTTACGATTATATCTTTATTATTTCTATATGTAGTTGTTATGATTGAGTAACCATGTGTTTGTTTTGACCTCACAGTTGCTCTTTTTGAGAAATGTACTTCGTGTTTCTTATTTTGACAATGCCCAGGTTTTATTTGAAGTACCTTCGAAAGTTACGTGTAAATCTACATGGAGACATTTAGCAGATGGTCTTATTCTGCACAACTTTTCTTTTCTCTGTTCTTCAGCTGAGAGACCAGATCAACTCTGATCATCGAGTGAGAGCTATGCTGGATGTGAGATCCTTTCTTTCATGTCGTTACCTTTTTTGATTTCCTAATCATTCCCTAATCGTGGAAACTGTACATTTATGCAGCGGGTGTGTTTGTGTTATTTGATGCCTGCAGAGATACATGGAAGTGAGCGCAAACCTCAGAGACTTGTATGAAGACAAAGACGGGTAAGACAATCTCAAGGACATCCGAGTCGGTATAGAAATATATCAGGCTTATTTTGTGCGATCTCACGGCGGTGTTGTGTGTCTGTTCATCAGAATGAGGAAGGATGAGCTGAATGCAATATCGGGACCCAACGAGTTCGCGGAGTTCTACAACCGACTCAAAGTGATCAAGGAGTTCCACAGAAAACACCCTAACGAGGTACCGACGGCTGTGAAGTGCTCTGTCCTGAACGACACGCTTCTGTCTCAAGAAATATTCACTCCGCTCGTTCTGTGTGTCGATTGCAGATCTGTGTGCCCATGTCAGTGGAGTTTGAAGAGCTCATGAAAGCCAAAGACAACCCCAGTGAGGAGGCACAAAGTAAGTCTGGAGTAACGCGAGAGCTGTTTGCTGAGGCACTGATATGTGCTGTGAATGGACGGTAACGGTCTCAATGCTGGTCACAGATCTGGTGGAGTTCACTGATGAAGAGGGTTACGGACGCTACCTGGATCTCCATGACTGCTACCTGAAGTATATTAACCTCAAAGGAGTGGAGGTACTGTCCGGCTTCTTATTTGATTTACATGCCTTCGAATAATTGAACAAAAGACCGTTATACTTCTGTCTGTTGCTCTCTTCTAGAAACTGGAGTATGTCACTTATCTGTCAACATTCGATCAGCTCTTTGACATCTCTAAAGACCGGAAGAACGCAGAGTATAAGAAGTAGGTGAAAGGTGGTGTTTTTGATCAGATTGTGCAGCCCTCGAACAAGCACAGAAAACCGTTCACAATTTGTGTCTGTAAAATAATTGTTCTTTTTCTTTTTCCCCCCAAATTCTTCAGTCCTAAAACACAAACCACATTTTGTGTGTGTAATTGGTAGTTCAAGTTTCTTGTTGTTGTGCTAAATGTGCTTCGATATGGATGCATGTTGTTTCTGGTCTGTGCTCTTGCAGGTATCTGGAGATGTTGCTGGAGTACCTGCAGGAATACACGGATCGGGTCAAGCCTCTGCTGGATCAGAATGAGCTCTACGGAAAGATCTTGGCAGAGTTTGAGAAGAAGTGGGAGAGTGGGATGTTTCCAGGCTGGCCGGTGGGTTTGTGCTTAAGAGACAACATTAATGAGTTTGAGAGTTTTGCTTTCAGCAGTGGCTGCATATTTTCCAAACATACCAATATATTACCATTCATTGAGGTTAATATTCATCAGTGGTATAATAAAAAAGTTAGCATAGAAGTATTAGAAGAGATTTATAAAACGGAGAGTTCCGGTGCTTGATTCTGATTGGCTGAGCCGCGTTCGAAGCTGTTGTAAATTACTCTACAAACAACACCCCTTAGCTGTTATAAATTCACTGTAAACTACAGCTTCTTGGGGCTTATTGCTGTATTCTATCATCCATTACATCTACATTGTCCTGCTGTCCTCTATTAAATGCATGTGAGCACATGAGGAATGAATGGAGGTGTTTTATAAATGTGTGTGTGTGTTACAGAAAGAGACGAGTAGTGCTCTGACTCACGCTGGAGCACATCTGGATCTGTCTGCCTTCTCTTCCTGGGAGGTTAGTTTGTCTCGCTCTCGTCTGTTAACAATGTGACTCGCATGTTTTCCTAGTTAATCATGTTTTCATTAATGTTGTCTCACACACACACATACACACACACACACATTTCTGTTGGCAGATCAGTAATGTTGTGTGTACTCTTGTAAGAAAAATTATGAGGACGATGAAGATCTCGATGAAGATGTTTATTGCAGAATAGCAGTGACAAAGTACATGTAGTACCTTGGGTTCAACGGAGTCAGAATGAACCACGAACATCCTAAGCTCAAACATTTTATACTCTATTCTTCCCGCTTCATCTTCCCGCATGTAAATTAAGTTTCGTCTTAAATGTAAATTGCGGATAACAATGAAAGGGATAGCCTTCCGTTCCCACGTCTTTGATAGTATTTCAGGTGGAAACAACCAAATGCTCAGGTGATAGGATTATCTAGAATCCCTAGCAATTATATTCAAGTGCCCTTTTGGTCAGCAGATGGTTCTTGATGGCCTACTGCCGCTCCCACGCTATAGGTGACGAAGTAATGTTCAGGAGATACTATTTACATATTATTGAAAGAATTATCTCTATGATAATTAAGCTCTTTGTAGAGAAAGGAGAATAGTTTA